TATATAGGGCCTCACGCGATCCTGCTGCCGTTGTGTGATTCTCTCTCCCCCTCTCTCTCTCTCTCTCTCTCTCTCTCTCTCTCTCTCTCTCTCTCTTTCCTTCCTCTTCCTCTTCCTCTTCCTCTCCTTCCTCTTCCTCTTCATCTATCACTCTGTTTCTCTCTCTTTTTCTCTCCCTTTCCCTCTATTCATCTATTATGTCTGCGTATGAATTGGTGTGGTAACGCGGTGCTGCCATTCTGTTTTCCATATCTGAACGCGAGGAAGTTTTGCGAGGGGAGGGGGCGCGTTTGAATTGTTTGTTTGTGTGTTTATTACGCTGCGAAGCGTCAATTGTTGTGTAAATTGTTGTGTAATTAACAATTGCATTCGTTGTTATACTAAAAAAATTAGTGCTACTTCTAAAGAATTAGGCTAAACTGTACTTGCGCATATTTCTGGTAAATGTCAAAGTAACATCATAGGAAACAATCGATTTTTGATTGAACGCTGTTGCATTTAGTTTATCGAAAACTAAAAAAGAATTGTTTCAGTAAAACATTGGTTTGCCATTGTCCTTTCCATTTATGTATTCGTGGTTAGCGTATTGCCGAACACGCAAATACGCACGCATGACGAAGGCACACGCACACACACGCACCCGCGCGGTTACACACAATTCACTTATTCTACAATGCAAGGAAATTCTGTGGCTTTCGCCTAGACAATATATATATATTGTAGGCGTATTCAGCCGGCGGCCCCACGCGTACACAGTACAGACTCTGCAGTGCAGCTCTGCAATATACTACAGTATGGGGAAACAGGGGATTCCCTCTCTAATCTAAAATAGTCGGGTAGATATTACTAAACTTCTTATCTACACGAGTCAAATGGTTGAAGTTCATAAATATAATTCGATCGTATCTATTTCGGAATACCCGGGCTATATTAGCTGACTCGCTATATCATCACGTATATGGTTCCTATGCTGCGTACTGTATAGGCAAGCAGCTGTGTGTGACACACTAACACAGAAACGATATCGAATAGCGACAAACAATGGCAGCACTTCAATCAGTCAACAATATTGTATTTCTACTACGATTAAGGGCATGCATGCGCCTACTGTTAACACAGCTTCACTTATAATAACCTACATTAGACAATCATTGATATTATTGGTCCATGTTCCCGATTTCCTACCGATTTCGTGACATTTGCGGTTGTTATACTCTTTTTCAAACAGCAATACAAGATGTTAGAACTGTACTTGCATCACGCTTATAATCGTAATTTGCCTATAATAATATTCTCAGCACGATTCACAAATTGGCTATTTATTAGTAATAACTCGATCAAGCGGCAATGCGCTTAGTGGAGGGCTTTAAATATTGATGGTTTTCTAAACCAATCTCGACGATGCAAACCTAGCTTGTTTAGGCCGTAAAACGGACTAGAAGCTGTAAGTAATAAACTATAGAGACGGTGGCTGCATTTTACAAACTTTCGTGGTTACGTCGGCCATAATATGCCCGTAAAGTTATTGCGGTCGCCTGCGTTCGCTATACACATTGCGGAAGAAAGATATACCGAAGAAACGCAAACCAGTTTGGAAACGAAGTGAGGTGGGGGAAGTGTGGACTAAACCAATCTGACCGGAGAGAGAGAGAGAGAGAGAGAGGGAGGTCGGAGATGTGTCACGAGGGCTTTTCGCTCCAACTCCATACAATAAAATCACAGCTGCTGTCCGGCGAAGGAAAGTTTCTACGATCATCAAGTTGCATTTTACACCTTCGCGGGACAAGTTCGAGTAAAAATATCATTAAAACTGCTGGCGTGGCGTTCTCGCTAAACACTTTGAGTGTGTACGTGTCGCAGCCTGCTTGGCCAACGTGCACGCAGCGATCGGTATAAGTGGATCTAGGTCGCTGTGTGCCAGTGTCATCATCATCATTTCGGGCTGCGGCGTACGCGGCTAGCGACTGAGATTTTTGCTGAAGCGCCGAGAGCTATAAGTGAGATGCTATCAACTTTCAGTTTCGTCACATGGCTGGCTGACATTTGGCGACACGTGTGACTGTGATATTGCTAGTCCCGCATACAGCTGTAAACACGTTTCTCACAGTACAACTGTGATATCGCATAACACCGGTGTATGTAGGCCTACGCGTGTGTATATTGTGTAAGGTGACGCCTTATGACTGGAAATTAGTAATCGACGCTAGGCAGCATCAGCATGAGAGTGTACGTAATCGCTGTCATCGCCATCTTCGCCTGCTCGCTCCTCGTCATCGCCAGCTGTAAGAAGGCGACAACGCCGAGCGGCGACAGCGAGGACGACGACGTTGACGATGAGGACGACGGGCAGGACCTGTACGAGGTGCTAGGAGTGAAGAGGACGGTGACAGAGAAGGAGATAAAGAAAGCCTTCAGGAGGCTGGCGGTGAAACATCACCCCGATAAACACAAAGGCGATGCAGAGAAGAAGGATGCAGAGAAGAGGTTCAGGAAGATAGCAGCTGGTAGGTACACGCACGCACGCACGCACGCACGCACGCACGCACGCACGCACGCACGCCACGCACACACGCACGCACACACGCACACACACACCCACACACACACACACACACACACAAACGCTGTGGATATAGCGAAGGCCTACACTGTCTCTATTGGACACAGCTCCACTGCCGCTACCCAACGTGGGTTTCACGAACCTATCCCTCGATCCCATGACCCATAAAGTTATCGATAAACACATGCACGCACGCACAACAGCGTCCATACTTGCAGTGTTAGAGTAGGCCTACTCCTGCAATGACGTACACCACGTTCCAACCCTCAGGCATCATTCACTATCGTGTAAGCGCCATTCAGCAAACCTCGGACGAATCCGCTACTCTAGATCTCATCCCATACCCGGCATTAGCTGATTTTTTTCCCAGAGCCGCGAGCACTTACCTATATAATACGCCCGCAAACGCACGTGAAATTCAAAATAAACAACGCGCCTATTATAACGCTATATATAAACGCCATAATATAAACGCTATATTATAACGCTATATTATAACGCTATATTATAAACGCTATATTATAACGCTATATAAACGCCATAATATAAACGCTATACTATAACGCTATATAGACGCTATACTATAACGCTATATAAACGCTATATTATAACGCTACATAAACGCTATATTATAACACTATATAAACGCCATAATATAAACGCTATATTATAACGCTATATAAACGCCATATACACGCCCATATAAACGCTATATTATAACGCCCATATAAACGCTATATTATAACGACCATATAAACGCTATATTATAACGACCATATAAACGCTATATTATAACGGCCATATATAAACGCTATATTATAGCGCTGTATAAACGCTATAACGCTATATAAACGCCTTAATTAAATATATTATAGAAAACGCTATTATAATATCGCTTATATAAACGCTATATTATAGCGCCTATGTAAACTCTCGTGCACTTGCAGCGTACGAGATTCTCTCTGACAAAGAAAAGAGAGAGAAGTACGACAGGTTTGGCCACGATGCGTTCAAGCAGCCACGGCCCGGCGGCGGTCCACCGCACGGGTTCCGCCCGCCGGACTTTGACTTCAATGACTTCTACCGACACTTCGACGACAGCTTTAACTTCCGGCAGCAGGGCGGTCACCATCGTGACGACCACGACCGTCACAGCTTCAAGTTCGGAAACAGGTATCAATATAGGAATCTATCCATCGATTATTAGGAATATGCAGGACTGGCGCAATCTTGCTAGTGTATATTAATATTATATTATTGTATTAT